AGTGAATTTTAGAAAGTTTAATGTCCTCCTATACATTGGGCTAAGGGGAGGAGGGGTCCAAAAGGTCACTATTGGAAATGGGATAGATTTAGAAGTTCTAAAATTTTAATTAAATATTAGGCCTTAAGGGGAGTAATTTGGCTTTGAGTTTGTTGGATTTGGAGTTTTCTAGGCAAAGATATGAATTTTAGAAGTTTTGGGTAATTAAGGAATCATTGAAATTATTTAATTAGGGGCATTTTAGGGGCTTTGATCCAAATCAACTCCAAACTAATTGAAACCACCCCCAAAGGTCAGGAATGACCTAAATAAGTATTTCAAGTGTTTGTTGAAATTTGGAATTTTTAATAATTTTTTATAAATTAATTAGGACAAAAAGATAATTTTTAATTAAAGTTAAATTAAGGCTCAAATTTAAGTCCAATTAAAGGACCTAATTATCTAAGGTTAAGGCCTGAACTATGAAGAGTTCAAGAGATTATGAATAATTTTTTGAGTTGAAATGGATTTATTAGAATTTTTTGAAGTTATCGAGGCATAATTAACGGGTAAATTAGGGTTTGTTAATTAAGGGGTTTAAAGGATCCTAAAAATTCCTAAAAAATTATGAGGAGTTTAAAATGTAATTAAATTTAAATGTTGAGAGTTTTAAGTCATTCTGAAATCTACTCTAGCTCCTAGAATTTTTCTAAGTTCGCTAGACGAGTCCTTAATTATTATCCTTAGGATGTCGTTACGTTAAATGGGTTTTAAAATGAGTTTTGTACTAACCATTGAGGTAACATGCATGAAGTACATAAATAAAATAAACACATCAATTCTTAGGATCTAGGAGGGCCTAAAATAAGTACTCGTGCATCCTACGCATACAAAAGATGATAAAATAATAATGCAGTACGCTTATAAAAGTGATTAGTGGATGATTGAAACTCAACCACCCACTAATCAACCTCCCCCATCAATACTATTCATATGTATGTCATATGTTTTAAATTTTAAAAAACGAAACTCCTATAATTAAGGGATTTAAAATATATGTAATTTTAAAATAATTTAAAATATGTAAATATTAAGTATATAAATATAAATTTAAGAAAATAGTATAATTAAAAATAATTTAATTTATAAGTGTTTTAGAGATCCACTGGTCACCAAAAGGGAGGCAATCAAAATAAGTTGAAAATAATTTTTTAAATTTTATTTGTAGCTTATGGTTTCCTCTGATGCCCTCTCCATTGTCGCCCTTCTCTACCCTCACTGAAGGGTTCTCCTCTCCCTCTCGGGGCCGGAGGCACTATTTTGTCATCCATTGAAGAATCAGCCTTTTCACTGCTCTCCTCCTTCAATTCTTCACCAACGCCCATCTACTATGAATTGAAAAAAATCTTCATCAATCGAATGCTCCCCCTTCTCTTCAAACTTCTCTCTGAACTTTGTTCTACGCCACGAATATATGATTTGTTCAACAGACAAAGAGAATGAAGATAGAAGGAAACTATGATCTATGGTCATGGTGTCAATTTCGGGTCACGGGTCGGGTTCGGTTGAATCCGAAACTGAACTGATACTATTCGGGTCAATCCGAACCTGACCCATTTTTGTAAATGGGTCGGTTTTCCAGACCAAAACCCTACCCACTTCGGGTCCGGATCAACCTGACACGACTCGAATGACCCGGTGCAAAAAAAAAAAATTTTTTTTTTTTTTTTGTTTAAATTCAGTTGTAATGAAGACATGGAATGGTTATAAATGTGGGTTCCTTTAATGTCAATTACAAAAAGGTTATGAATGTGAGGAAAGTAAATTGCATGCATGTAAAAAAATTGCAAAAAGCTATTTTGTTCCCTAAAAAGGCATAATATTTCTTCTCAATGCCCAAAAAACCACAAAAGGTTAATTGCATTTAATACAATTAATACAACTACTACTGAACTTATAAAAATAATCTATTAAAAGCCTACTGTTTCTTTGTCAGTTGAGCTAATCATTTTTTTATTTAAATTTGTCAGTATTCTGATTTTAAATCAAATTTGAAAAAAAAAAGCATCATATAAACGATTTAATACATATTTTTTTATTGGAAATATATTATCTAATCCATTTTAAAATCTTATTCAGAGGTTTATATTAGTGCAACTCCGATGGAAACTTGATTTTCTATTTATTTATTTATTTCTTTATTCATTTTAGAAGTTCTATCTACCATAAACTTCTCATCAAAACCATCAATATATGGCAATGCTATACAATATATTTTTCGGTTCCAAAATCTTTTGAGATTATCACCACAAATATCTTTTACAATTTCTTCATGTATTTTAGATATTTGTTCATTTGTTTATGGTGTTTTAAGTTTCTAAAAAAATTATTTTGAAGAAATTAATATGCAATTTTTTTGTTTAATTTTTTTTATTTCATCTATAATAATTTCCTTAGGATCAAATTATTAGAATCCACGATGATCAAAAGTATCAAATTATATGAAGATGATAGGCTGTTTAACTCATTGAGTTTCTTCATGGTTGTGCATCGATTGGAATGGTGATCATATTTTCCACATTGATAACATTTAACCTCTTTCCATTTTTATTTCCTTTTGTCACTATTATTCTTACTATCATCTTCATGATGATATTTTCAGTTTTTTCTTTTGTAATGTTTATGAACTTTTGAGGGTTTTTCTCTTTATTTATCTTTACAAGATTTTAGCATCTTTCTCTATGTAGAGGGGAAATTACAAACAAATTATTCATAGAAAGCTCCAACTTGCTTTCTGTCAATATTTTTTTTTTTTTAATTTATTGATCCATCTTGATATCAGCACGAAGAAGATGTAACCTGATTTTGATACAACTATTAATAATATAAGCATATGTCATAAGAAGAATATGTTATATTACCATAAACATCATGAATATTACGCAATTTTTTTGTTTTGTTTTATTTTGTGAATGTAGCGGGTAACCCTTGATGATTAATAAATTCCATCTAAAATGAGTCAGCATTGAACGTTTTAATTTTTATATTAGAGATCTCATTTACTCTTTATTTTTATAGTAATATATCCTATAATGTTCGAAAATATCGTGAATCAGAGCATAAACAACCTCAATATCACATTGAGTCCTTTCTTCTAACCTTACATCATTAAGAAGATTAGGAGGCTGTCTTTTAGTGAGATTATTGTCCCACCAAACCTTTAGAATTCATGTTTTCAACTATTTGTAGTAGCGTATACTTACAAGCTTGAACTGCAGTAGTATTGATTAGCATTCACTAAATAGTTTCATAGATTTGATAGCCCATTTATAAATTTGAGCAGGATCATGATGTTGATTGAATCTATGATTTTTCTCATGTAAGATATCAATGGGTGGAAAAATTATTATGTTTGGATCCGGATGACATCTGGAGACCAACCAGAACATGTCACATCACTTTTTTTCGTTATGTACGGATGCTCGGTACCACTCAATCAAGGATAATAATAATATTTTTCTATTGTTTTTTTTTATATATACTTGAATTTATTAATCGTCAAGGGTTCAACTTTCAAGGGTTTAATTTATAGGCTTTGAAATTTACATTGATTTTTTATTCCTTACTTTCTTCCATTTGTTCCTCTTAGAAAGAGCTAGTCTCATTAAGTGTAATGATATGTGAGCATTTAATTTGCTGGATTAATATATTTATCTATTCTTTGTATAGGTCCAAAACTAAAATTGAGTGGAGATAGTTTGATTAAGGGATGCTTAGTAACAATTAAACTAGAGTTAGAGGGATTTTCCTTCTTTAGGGGTTCTAACACTTTCTCTACTTGGCTATTGATTTTATCAATTTTTTGCTCAATTTGAAAGAGATGATCAAATATAATCTAAAGTGTACTATTGGTGTAATTAAGTTGTTTAACAACTATTATAAAATTCTTAATGGTCTGATTATCAGAAGTGAGTCTTCCAAGGGTTGCTTACTGAATATCATTTATAGTATTTTGTCTAGCAAGAGGGTAAAGAAACTCAATTTGAGATTGATTGATTAATTAAGTTCAAGCTCAAATTCAAACTTAATTCTATACGTTTGAACCAGCTCATGAGCTTACTCATTTATTATGGAAAAAAAAAAATCAAATAATTATTAGAATAAATGGTTAAAAGAATGATAAAAAAAAAAGAGAAATCAATTGATATAATGAAATGAGCTATAATTTTTAAATATTACTAACATTTTTTTACTTAAACTCCTAATAATATATTTTAACTATTTTTTATATTGATAATTTTTAATTTAGCCATTTCACAAATTAGAATGTTGAGTCAAAATTGACTCAAACTTAACTCATTAGTTCATCAAGCTCTACACATGAGCTTGAGCTAACTCACAAATTGGCTTTGACTCACTTACACATTAGTCCAAGCCCATAATAAGATAGGCCGGCAAACTAGAAATTAGCTTACCATTAATTCAGCAAAAAAATATTACAAATATATTTCTGGAATCATTCTTATTACAAAAGTACAATATAAAATAAATAAATAATTATATTTATTCTGAAATATATAATATTTTAATAAAAACAACAATAGATCATTTTATAAAAAAAGAACACTGAAGTCTGAAATTTATTTTTTTTACTACAATAAAACAATGTTATCTTGTATCTCTAATACAATATCATTCTATTTTAGCATAGTAAATTTTTTTAATGATTTATGTGGGTTTTATTGTTATCCAATAAACCTGATTAAGGGTTTAATTCATAAATATTGAAAAACAAATGGTCAAAGTACAAATTAAGATTTCGTTTGGGACGGCTTTTTAATTGCTTCTTAAAGCAGCTTTTTAATACAAAAATTAAAATTTATGTGCTAGAAATCTGCAGTAAGAAAGCCGTCCTAAACAAAGCCTAAATGCCTCCTAAATTTTGAAATGAAGGGTCATAATTCAGTGATGAACAGTATTAGATAATAGTGCTTAAGTATGCCTTGTATGAGAAGTAAAAATGAATACCAAAAAGCACTGTATCACTTCATTATGTTGGTAAGTATGGCCTACATTTTCTTTCAACAAATTGAAATAAATATTTGGAGACTGTAGTTTGCGACTGGCTTTCAATAACAATTTCAAATAATTTCATTTGATTTGTACACATGAAGAATTATAGAGAAGGTGTAATTTCTTCAGAGCATCATTTTTTCAGGACAGTAACCATACAAACAAAGGCTATAAAGCGGGAAACTAAGCCATATGCAAAGAGGACAATTACACAGAGATACCAGTTATGAATATTATAACCAAATTTCATTAAAGAGCCGCACCTGGTAATCAACCACACGCCAGAATACCTGCAAAATAAGCACAAATTAAAAGTTTATTTTAATAGTATAACATACCCCACTGGGCTTAGCTGAGTTGGTGGGCGAGCGTGGTTGAGAACCTTTCAACCCATGTTCGATTCCTCTCTAATGCGACGCGACTCCTAAATAGGGAGAAAATAACTATGTCTGGGGATTAGTTACGCCGTCATGCGCCTCCTTTGGGGATGGTAGCGGGTAGATACCCTCGTTCCCAAAACAAAAAATGGTATAACATCTTTTACCTATTTTTTAAGACAACATTTCACTTGATTTCAACATGTAGCAGTGCAACAAGAAAGCTATTATTCTGTTCGGACACCGGACAGTTCTCCCGTCCGGTTAAGCAGTACCGAGCACGGATACCGAGCTTGGTACCGAGCGCGCTACATTTTTGGGGTAGACACCCTCCGAACTCTGCACATAATAATAAATCGCAACAAGAAGCTATGGAATTATGATGGATCCATTTGGGGGCAGTTGCAACAGTATATGAGAGTTGAAGAGTTATTGTGGAATATAAATTTTTAAAATGTTGTTATTGGCATTAAAAATATTTTCATTTGAAAAAATTAGACTATAGTTTTCTAACAGCTATCACACTACTAATAGATTTGGGTTTAATAGTTATTTGTCACCTTATAATTTTTTTAAAAATGACAAATAATAGCAAAGATAAAACTTATTGGTTGTTGACTGGAAAGCCGAGCTCAGACAAAACTCGACCAAATGGATCCTTTTGTGTTTTTACTTGTGCACTCCAAGTATCTGATTTGGATAAAGTGGGTGGGGAAATATAAACCCCATAGTTCCACTACTTTCTTGTGGGTTTGTGAAATCACTTCAGTGCGATAAGCCTCACAGCATACCCTCTGCATTTGATATCTAAAGACCTCCTGGCTTTCTACGTTGAAATAGACGCACACTAATAAAATTCATTTAAATTTTTGATGATACATACTGTTGCTTGTAGTTTTTCTAAATAGTGCATCCTCATGTATGAGCTTTGCTTTAGTTTTCTCAGCTATTTTAGTTTCTTATAGATCTTTCCCAAGCAGTTTTGCCTTAAAGTTTCAGCTATAGAACAACAATAGCTCTTTGATTGCTTGCTGTATTTTAATTTTTATTTCAATGGAGGTGCCTTTGCCATTCTTTTAGATCAAAAAGACAAAAAAGGCTGATTGTGTACCTTTCTGCACTTGCTATTACAAATCCTTCCAGCGCCCACTTAGAGTAGCATAAATTAGACAAAAGCTTTGAATTTCTTTGCTGTGTAGCTATCAGAGTCAAGACAACAGGAAGAAGTGCTGACCACTGCAGAAAGAAAAAAAAATCATGAGGATGTTGAAAAATAAAACACTACGTTAATTAAGACAATAATTATACATCCAACTTTCAATAAACTTTGCACTCACTAGTTGAGCAGAACCTGGATTGAAGCAAATGGCAAAAACATAACCAATTCCAGTAACACAGTAAACTAGCGCAACCAAGATGACATAGTTGTCCAATATTGATGACCTTGGGTTGTTGAAGAAATAAAACATTGAGAGGTAAACAATAGGCTTAACGAGAGTATTGAAATGGTCAATGGTATCTTTCGACAGAAAATAAGCCAACGAACTCATGCCAGATGATCTCTCTCTCCAATAATGCAATTTCTCTGGCGAAAATGATCTCAAAGCTCCAATTTTGCATAAGAGAGCTGCAGGAAATGTGCAAGCTTTATTTGTTAAAACATTCGTGGAAATGGAAAGAATATGTTAGTTTTATTTGTTTGTACAATCACAATATGCCATCAAAAGTCAAGAAGACACATACTTTGCACACACATGCAAAGAAGCTAGGCTAGAAATCAAACCAGTTTAAATTGAATGGTTAGGAATTCATAAGATAATTAAAATGTCTGTCAAAAGTAATATAACTGAATCAATTCAAGAAGATATTTGAGTTATCCCTATAATCATCACTATCCCAAGTGGGATCTGTCCTCAATTTCTGCTGCCAGTAACTCTAGCTAATTGTATCTAGTATTGATTCTAGTATAAACTAGGTGTTTTTAAACAATGTATGACGTTGTTAGCTGAGTACTCTTTGATACACAGTTCTCTCACATCAATTCTCACCACTTATCTTGGCGTTTCATTTATATACTCGTACCATGTCAATCCTTCTTCCAACACCTCAATCAATGCAAATGTAAACTTCTTTAGTAAAATCATTTTTACTCTTTCTTTTATAGTTTAAAAGACATCAAAATATTCTAATTTTTTTCCTGCTCAGCTTGATCATAGCATGACTCCACACTCAAATAAACAAATTGTTAAGTATTGTTTTAGTTTTAGGTTATTTTGTTCATGCATGCTACCACACCTTTGTTAACCTTCTATAAATAGAAGCCTTGTATGATGTATTGGTTGGGGAAAAATCAATAAAGCTAATTTGTATTTCCTCCCAAATTTCTCTCTCCCTCCCTCTCCCTCTCTAGATCTTGCAAGAACATCTCTCAAGATCTCCTCCAAGATCCAACACAAATCTAACTGAAATTTCAACAAGTTTGTCCTGAATAGGCTTGAACATAATTTTAACACAAAAAATATGATGCAAGAAAACTTACATCGTGGAAACATTAACCCAACCCTGCTGCCAGAACAGAACAGTAAGCAAAATAGACCTTCTTAGGACAGAATCAAATTACACTACAGGCCAATAAAAGTTAGGGGAAAATTTTCATATAATCTAGAGCAATCAAGAAAATTATGACTTCACAAATGGAGTATCTAGAATCTCATAGTAGCAATTTCATTGACATAATTATTGGTAAATCACATCCAATAATACAGAGAATATTGAGTGAACAAAAGAAAAGAAAAGAAAAGGAAAATAGAGAGAGAATTCCAAAGTGAGAAGCTTTGAGATTTCAGTAAAATAAGCTTGAGTACATAAATTGCGTCTTAGAGCAAATTGAGTAAAATTGCATCAATTGAGCTCACCCCTCGACCCCCTATTTATAGATTTGGGCAGAGCTTGAGTGTTCCAAAATTGACTATATACTTGGATATCTTAAAAAAAAAAAAAATACAGTATTTTTGTAGTCAGATCGGAAAGTTTGACTTAATAAAGCTGCCTACCAAGCTTTGAAAAAGTTGACTTAGTACATGTTGATAGTTGGATAGCTGATCAATATTTTTCCTTGAGAAGTTGCCCCACCTCGAGTAGTCTCCAAGGCCAACTTCATAGAGAGTAGTTGCTAGGGACAACTAATGAGCTATACTCATCAACCGGGATGAAGTCTAAGAAGATAGCCGAGGTGAGTTCTCTTGTAAGTCAACGAATGTGAGACTAAATAGATAAAGTTAACATAATTTGAACCAGGTCGACTTACAAGAGATATTTGGATATATATTTAGTTATTTGATTCTCTTATAGCTAAGGAGGTTTAATGTAAAAAGACTAAGAGAATATAAAAATATTCTTCATTAATTAATCATTAACCCTTCATAAATACTTAATTTAAGATTGTATATTAGTCAATCAATTTGATGTTGATTTCTGATATTGTCCTTTTGTCCAGTCAACTAATACTTAGAGGGATCATTGTTTCTTGTTCAAATTGTTGCTTCCTGGATTTCTTCTTTTGATTGAGTTTGAGTTTAGCGCAACTTCATCCCTGTCAATAATAAAGGTTCCAAAGGATACTATTAATATATCTAAGGAAGATACTATTGCTAGCTTATTAGATAAGCACAAGAAAAAAATATAGTTCTTCCAAAAATAAGAATAAGAAAAAAGAAAAGAGTTAAAATTAAAGAGACTAAGGCCAAAGGTAAGATTTAAGAACTCGCTATTTCATCAACCTCTGGCCGTCTAGCATTCTTCTTGTTGATGATCCCTGACCTTGATCGAGCATCGTAAAGACAAATTAAACAAAACAGGACCTTAATTGAGCCAATTTAAACATAATTAATTTCAATTAAAGTAAAATCGGTCCAAATCGAACCCAAATCATCCTCGTCGAGCCAAATTCGACGCAATTCAGTGTCGATTCGAGTCCAATTTCGAAAAATTGACTCAATCAAACCCGAATCAATTTTGGGTTCAATTTGGATCCAATTTCAACCCAATTGATCAATTTAATCCCAAATAATTTAAATTAAATTTTTTATCTTTTCTAATCATTTTCCCAAATTGATGCAATCATATCTAAGGGCTAAAATTCAAAGACTGACTGCTACAAGGTCTTTTTCCTTAGATTTCTATGACGAAAGATCAGGATAGCGCAAGATATCACAGCAAGAGATTGCATTGGGCAGAGAAGTCCTCAATTTGGTGTAAAGAGAGAGCGGGAGATGGAAGGAGGTGGTCATTCAGACCGTACCTATCTTCACATGATCATTCGAGCGAGAGAGAGAGAGAGGGAGAGGGAGAGGCCTTCGAGATTCTTCTTGCTTCTGCGCGCTCGACCAGGAGAAGAGCCATTCGACTCTTTCGACCGTCCAAAGGGAACCAAGCCGCCAACCTAACCCATTTGTGAGAAGATCATACCCTCCGCCGACCTCACCCATTCGTGCAGAGACCTCATCCATGCACCAACCTCAACCGTTCACGACCGGAGGTTATAGTGCCTAAGATTATCTGATTATATGAGATACTAAAGGTGCGTTAGATTATCAGATTACATGGGATACTAAAGGTTATAGTCTCTAACAAAGATAATAGATTTACCTCCATACTATGGAGGGATATTCAATAAGGTTTGGGTACTGAACTGCATTTCAATATGGCATTCATCCTTAGACTGATGGATAGTCTGAGAGGACCATACATATACTGGAAGACCTTTTGACACTGTTTTTTCTTTTGATGGCAGTTGAGAAAACCATATTTATTTGATTAAGTTTGCTTACAATAATAGCTTTCAGTCAAACATAGGTATGGCTCAATATGAAGCTCTGTATGGTAGAAAGTTGTTCGCTCAGGAATGTTCGCTCAGGATAATAACAAGATCGAACCTCGCCCTCGCAAGCTTAAGGTCCCCTCTTTCTCTAAGGTATATTAGATTTAAAATTAACCAGATTTCCTCTAAGAGTAGTGTTAGGGTTTATTTAGATCCGAGTTATACTTCCTATGAGCGCAAACCCTCATAGTTTATTACCCCTCATAACGCATTAGAAGAGCAATCTCGATTAGGATGAAATATATTTAGTTTATATAAGATGTAAATATGCAACAGTATTTTAATCTTTGTTATGGGGTATGAAGGTACACCTGATCAAGATCTCATGGTTCTGTCGTCCTGGGTCTACCGTGGGTTTCAATTTACTAATACTAACAACCATTGATTGTAGTGTTTGGGGAATCTGATTAGCAGCCACTGGTTGCCTCCTCTCAGGGATCCCGTGTAAACTAAAGTGGAGAAATAAGGATTTTAATTTGGTTTGATTTGGGTTAGTGCTTATAGCTCTACTTAAGAGTTGTCAGTGTGATTGGATTTGGGTAGGGGCTTACAATTTTCATTTAAAAGTAGCCATAATAGTGGATCTTATGGCTTCTATTAGAGGTGACCCAAATAACGGGTCTTACAACTTTATCCCTATAGACTAAGATGCCCAGGAGGTTTGGATGTTTAGATAGGTCTTATGGCTTCAAGATTTAGAAGTTGTCTAACGATGGATCTTATGACATAGCCCTGTAAGCTAAATTGTCTGTATGGTGTGGCTTACAACTTAGCCCTATAGACTAGGATGCCTATATAAGGGGTCTAGGGTTATGCTATTACTTAAACATTTCCCTCAAAATCGAACTTACGACTTCTATTGAAAGTTGTTGGTTGATGGGTCTTACAACCTAGCCCTTTAAGCTAAGTGATCCATTGGTGGGTCTTACAACCTAGCCCTATAGACTAGAATGCCCGTTATAGGGGTTTAGAGTTATGTTGCTACCTAGATATTTTCCCCTCAAAATCGGACTTGCAACTTCTAATAGAAGTGGTAGGAGTTAGGAGTTTAATGTTTTACACACTTCATTGTTTTGACACCGGCGTCAATATCTTGTTTTGCAGCTTTGCCTCAGTACTAGCCTGCAATCGTTGTTTTGACACTTACTAGCTAGCAGTTGTTGTTTTATACTCATAGTAGTGCTTGTAGCTTTTCTGCTTTAGTAGTAGCTTTATTTTTTTCTGCATTAAATTAATTTTATTTATTATGAGCTAATTTTTTTCTACTTGTTGCAGGTGCTCATGGTCAGTAGTTACAAACTTATAGTAGTTGAAGCTTGCAGCCATAGGAGCTGGAGTTTGCAATTGCAGGAGCTGAGGTTTGCCTGTAATTTTTATTAGAAATAGTTTTTACTTCTTCTATTTAGAAGTGGCTAATAGTTTTGATTTGGAATAGGTCTTATTACTTCCCATGAAAGCTGCCTTTTAATTGTTTAAGACAGGACTTACAGCTTCATTCAGAAGTTGCCTAGTAGTTTGGTTTTAGGGTGAAGCAACTGTATAGTTTTTTGCACTTATCTTCTGTCCTGACACTGTTGTTTTCGCTTAGCACTTTCTTTTCTTGCTTCAGTATTATTGTTTTAGTTCAAGTACTTTGCTTTTAGCAGTGTATTTTTGTTACAATATTTTGATTTCTTCCTTAACACTGTTGTTTTTCTCACAGTACTAACTTGGCCTTTGTTTATTTGTTTGCATGTATTTGTAGCCAACATCTGCAAGAGTTTGCTAGAGTTGGAATCTTGTTTAGAGTTTGTAGCTTAGTTAAGTTTTGTTTGTTTTGAGTTTTGAGCTATTATACATGAGATGATTGTAGTATAAACATTAATTAATGTTCTCTTTTTTTTTTGGTTGATTGCATTTTGACTTAGTTAATTAATTAATTAATTAAAATATTAATTTGTTGCATTTTAAATTAATTAATTAATTAACTAACTAATAAACCAATTAAAAGAATATTAATTTATTGTTTTAAATTTATCAATTAATTAAAAAAATCAATATATTTTATTTTAAAATTAAGATTTAAAATTAAATTAGAATTTTAATTAATCAATTAATTATTATTTTTTTAAATGATAATTGATTTTAAAAATGGCTTCCAAATTACTTTGATATGTCCTCAAATATATTTTAAATTTTTTCTTCTTCTCTTTTATTTATTCAATTAATTAAAAAAACTCTTTAGCTATGTTCTCCAAAAATCTTTTGTTTTTTAGAAAATCTGATAGCCTCCCAGCATTTCCTTCCCGTGAGGGGAGGTTAGGATGGTAGTTGTCGTTAGTTTTTCCCGGCCATATTTAATATACGATGGCACGAGGTCTTCAATTTAATCTTCCTGGCCGAATCTTAAGATATAACAACGCGAGGTCTTCAATTTAAGTTCTTCCCGGACGGATTTAAGATACAACGGTGCGAGATCTTCAATTCAAATATCCATGGCCGGATCTAAGGATATAACGACAAAACTCTTCATCAAATACCTGTTTGCTTATCTCTTTTTTTATTAACTTTTTTTTTTCCACAAAACACCACTTTGTTCTTATACTTACGGGGACAAGAGATAGTGGAGATAGAATCAGCAATTGTAGTCGAACGGGAGTAGACACACAAATTCATGCGTGTAGGGTGTTCGGCAGGAAGCGAGATGGTTCGTGTGAGACAGTGTAGCACGGGTGTGCCGCACGTGGAGGGAGATCGCCTGCGGGTCATCTAGGCGCGGGTGTAGCACATGTAGAAGACAAGATCACATGGACACGTCGGTTTTGCGAATGGAAGCGGGAGTGTGCCTCCTGGGTCAAAGTGCGCAGGTTGGGTCGTGTATTGGGTTGGGTTGCGGGAATGTAAGTTAGTGCTGCATGGGAGCCGTGATCGCTGGAGACGGACGAGAGGTAGAAGCCAAGTGTAGGAAGTTTCGAGGGAATGATTGGATTGGGACAAGTACAGGCACGAGAACAAACATAAGGTTTTTTCTGTTCATCCTGTTCACTGTATTTTGTATTAATCAAACGAGTGTGTCACTTGTGAGGCATTGCACCTGTTCAATTGTTTTCTGAAACAATGCAGCTGTTCAAAATTTTTTTAATTTTATTTTAATTTAATCAATAAACACAAATGCAAAAGTTTATATTAACAGTTTTAAAGCATTTTGAACTAATTAGTTATCAATCAACAATAAGCTTTTGACAGCCGCAAAGCATGGATTATCATATCCTCAAACTATGACATGTTTTACAAATTATCAAGGACAATGATTGTTCTCTGGTTGCAAGGAACACTACAGGAAAACCCGTCATTACCGGCGAACGGAATCCGCCGGTAACATGGAAAATACGACGGAAATTTACCATTTCCGTTGCATTTTTGGCGGATTTTCATGCGCCGGTTTGGTACGCGTCGGAAAAAGCTTTCTGACGTATATAATACGCCATAAACCGTTCCGGCGTACTCTCCAACGCAGTATCGGCGAAAAATTATGCAAAAATTAAGTCGTTTACCGTAAGATTATTCCGACGTTAAATGCGCCGGAATTTGCGGCGTATCTATCCGCCGGAAATACCGGCGGAAAAAACGCCGCAACTTATGCCGAAACTAAAGCCACGAATTATTACCGGCGCTTTATCCGCCGATATTTTCGGCGGATATAAGACGCCGGAACAAACCAAATAATTCGTTGTATCGTCGTTTCCTGCGAACTACCGACGTAAATTCCGCTAGAAACTTGAAGCTGAAACAAAAAAAAAATTGCCTTCTCAGGCAGCAATCAGATTTCCACACCTGCAAACATATACAAATAATAGTTCCCCAACACAGATCTATACAACATAAATTTCAAGAACTTCAACAAATACTTAAAAACATAAATGTAAACATTACAAAATGTTCATGAACATCGACCAATACTAAAAAACATCATAGATTGTTCATTAACATCACATATTCAAAAACTTATGCAAGTTCATATGACATTGAAAAAACTAAACTACTCTGAATCTATGGACTCATCCTCAGCTGGCTACCTCTTTTCCATTCAACTGCTCCCTCATTTTATGCATTTCATCCAACAACTGATTGTGTTGCTCTTGCATCTACATTTGTATCTGTGCTTGCAACTGAACTTGCCAATCAGCTTGTGATTTCCTTGTTCTAGCACCGCTTGAAGGGCAGTTATTTGTTGACTATGTAAGGACTCATGTGAACTGGCTGCGAAGCTGGATCTAGTAGAGATCCTAAGATAATATTTCTATTAAAGAAAAATTTTAAAATACTTTTTAAAATTCATTATCAAACGTCGCATGTGCTCAGTATGTGGATTTGAGCCGCCAATATGAAGGGAACTACCCAAGCCCCCAACATCATAAGCTCTGTTATGTCGATTTTAATCCCTCCTCCTGCTATACTCTGCACTGCCCCAAGCAGTGTTCAACTCAGCCCATATAGTCTCTCCCATCCACAATGGCCGCTCGCCAGTCTTTCTAATATCTATGAACATGTCGCGCATCTGAGTGGACCCACGCTTCTCAAAATTCTTTCTAATTTTATCATTATGCTGGGGCAGCAACAAAAATCTTTCTGCATTCAAAAACATACAATATATAATATATATGTTTGTTAGCTTAAGTAAAAAAGAATAAACCATTTATTTAGACATAACATAAAAAATAGTACCCAAAAATACCTCAAACTCTCTAAACCACATTTCCCGGACTTCTTTTGGGACTTTCTTCCAAGAAACATAAGGAGTGTCAAACCTGCTTCGTATGATGTCCCGTATTTTATGTGTCGATTGTTTTGATGGGTAGAACCTACAAAAATAAGGTTATGTGAGAAAAAAATATAATATAAAATAAATATGTTCGTTAGCTTAAGTAAAAGAGAATGTACGCACGTGTCACCGTCAGGTGCTATCAACATTCGACCATCTGTCGCATGCTCTGGTGCAGCTGGTGTCGAAGGTCCACCTGTAGTAGGCTGAGGGGGTAGTATGGTGAAACATATGGTGGATATGGATAAGTAGGAGGGGCACCATAAGGTGGGGGTGGGTAGTAAGGGTAGAAATGAGTACTCTGCGTGGGATCTAGTGAGTAGAACTGCGGGCTACTGACTCCAGGAGTGGGTAAAGACTGAGTGGTAGGCTGAGATTAAGTGGTAGGCTGAGTGGTAGGCTAAGAGGGAGGCTGAGTATGTGTGGCAGGCTGAGAATGTGTAGCAGGCTGAGACGAAGTGGTCCCCTCAGTACGTACTGGCCTAGATGGTCCAACTATAGTGATCTTCTTGCTACGCCTATTAAAAATATTTTGATCAATCCTCTGCTAGGCTCTTCACCTGAAGTCATCTGCACATAAAAAATGTAGCTCGTACTCACCATGAGAAGTCCAATACCAATACCAATACCATGGCATGAATCCTCTGCAATACAGATCAACAGTTACATCATTTGGTCTTAGGTGCACTAGATTTTTATGTTTAGAACATGGACATCGAAACATTCCATCTGATATGAAGCTGGGTAGTTGTTTTGCTGTCTAAATGAAAATGTTCACCCCATTAATGAATTCATCTGTTAATGTCTTTCGTCCTTACGTCAATCGGTTATACATCCAACTTTTTTGATTTCTAATATCCATGACATACATATAATATGAAGCAGATAAGTAATGAATTATAATGATTTATGTGACATTTATATATTTTATTTTATCTTATCACCCTCTCTTAGTCTCTTAAACATACTCTCTCTCCCTCACTCATTCTATTATTAACTATCTCTTCTCTCTACCTCTCTCTCTCCCCCTTCTTCTATCTCATTCCCTCTCTCACTTTCTTAATCTTATAATGATATTTTTCTTGCTGATAAGTCTAGAGATGGAGTTGAAGGTAAACTCGAATTATGGAGGTCAACTTTAGAGTCTAAAGGTTTTCACTTGAGTAAATCTAAAACTAAATATATGGAGTGTAATTTTAGTAGCAATAGACCTAGTGATGGGATTGTGACTTTGGGCGATCAAGTCATTAATAAGAGTACACATTTTAGATATCTTGGATCTATTATTTAGAGTGAAGGTGAAATTGATGGGGATATTATCAGTAGAATTCAAGTTGGATGGTTGAAGTGGAGGAATGCATCGGGCTTGTTGTGCGATAGAAAAGTCCCTCTCAAACTTAAGAGAAATTCTATAAGATGGTGGTGAGACCTGCAATGCTTTATAGTGCAGAATGTTGGCCATTAAAAGGGGAGCATAATACTAAGTTAAGTGTTGCAGAGATGAGGATGCTTAGGTGGATGAGTGGCTTGACCCTTAGAGATAGGATATGAAATGAGCATATACATGAAAAGGTTGGAATAGCTCCAGTGGAAGATAAGATTAGAGAGAGTCGCCTTAGATGGTTTGGTCACATTAAACGGAAGCCATCCGATGACCCGGTTAGGAAAGTTGAGGTGTTAGATTTGACTTATGTTAAGAAAGGTAGAGGTAGACCTAAAAAGACTTGGTTAGAAAATATTAGAAAAGGTCTTTCTTTATTAGATTTAAATGAGAAATTGACTTTTAATCGGACACAATGGCGAAAAAGGATTCATGTAGCTGACCTCACGTAGTGGGACAAAGGCTTGATGTTGTTGTTGTATTAAAAATTAATCATGATCGGGCATGAATCTCAAGGAAAAATCGAGTTGGAAACTTCTGAAATCAAATTCAAGACCATTTGAACTTCGATTTCATCAAACATATAGTCAAACTGAACATTTCGAAAAGATCAACCCAGCGACACCAAATTCATCCCAATCCGAGTATGGGTCCAAATCAAAAACCCGAAACACATTTAAAAAGTTCAAACCATAATTTGAATGACCAAACGATTTTCAAACACAACATACTTATAGTTGAATCGAAAAGAGAAATTCTAAATTGTAATATAGGGAACTATTACAATCTCAATACCTTTAAATGATACTCAAAACTCTTTGGCTCTCACTCTCTCTCTCTCCCCATCTTTTTCGCTCTCAAAATCTTGCTCTCTCCCTCTCACTCTATGTTTATCAATATGAATAATATCATTAGCAAAAGCAAACACCAAGGCACATCCTCTTGCAAATGTCTAATAAAAAATTACAAGTAAAATCTTACAATGGACGAAATCGGTGATTGAGGCGGCGAACTTCGGCAAACTAGGTTGAACGGTCTCACACCGGCGGAGCTACTCCAACCTTTAAAACAAAACTTCTTACCATTCTATGAAAATTTATATTAAGAAAATCAATGAAAAAATTCGAAACTCACGATGGATTTTCCCGAAAACTGTGTCCTTTCGTCGGCGACAGAGGCGGTGATCGTCGGCTACCTCTCGTGGACGTCCAGAAGCCTTGGCAGCGGCGATCTATGTTGGGGCGACGAAGCAGAGCAGAGATTTCAAACAAATGGCGGAAGGAAATGAATAGTCAGAAGGGCTCGGGTTCGAAAATAGAGCTTTCGCCGGCGGATTTTCTACGTATAATACGCCGGAAAGATTTTCGGCGTTTTGTATGACGGTAATAATTCGTTGTGTTTAAAATGACCGGCGTCTATTCCGCCGGTAAATCTGCCGGCATTTTCCGGCGTAAAATACGTCGCTTCGGATGATATGCTTATATATTCCGACGTTACAACCGGCGTATAGTGCGTCGGAAAACTACAAACGACTAATCCACCAGAAAGAACACCATTATAATTCCGTCGCACCATACTCCGGTAACAACGCCGTCTTTACTAACAGATATATATCCGCCGTAAGCTCCGACAGTAATCATGTGTTTTCCCGTAGTGGAAGTTCGTTCTTCCTTGGTATTATTTTTATTGCCGGGTTTTGTTTCTTTTGGCTGGGTGGCCGGTATGGCCTCTAATCGGCTCTTGGATCCTGATTTTTAGTCGTATCTAAGAAGTCTCATTCGTTTTTGGATGTTGTATCTGGTAATGAGTCGGATATATGTTCATTTCTCGCCCCTCAAAACGAGCTCTTTTCGGGGTTTACCTGCTGTTTGGATCTCCGAGGAGGAGATCGCTTCTTTAGCCGGCCCTTTTCATTTTTCTCTGGTGGGATTCTTGCCTTCTCGTCGTCCTTCTTTAGATTCTATTTGTCGCTTCTTCTTCAACCTTAAGCTTACGGCTGAGTTTTCGGTTACCCTGCTGGATGCGTCTCATGTGTTGATTAAATTGTCTAATGACATGGATTATAGTAGGGTGTTTTTCCATCTATCTTATTTGGTGTTCAATTGTTACATAAAAATTACTAAATGGTTGTCTTCCCTTGATATTGGCGTGGAATCTCCGATTATCCCCATCTGGGTCTCTTTCTCTAACCTTCATCCACATCTTTTCGCTCCCAAAATCATGCACGCTTTGGGCTCGTTATTTGATCGCCCCCTTAAAATTGATTATGCCACTTCTGTGGGCTCATGTCCTTCTTTGGCGCGTGTTCTGGTGGAATTGGACATTACGAAACTCTACCCTGATAAAGTTTGGCTGGGTCTGAGCAGTTGGGTTATGTTCAGCATGTTCAAATCGAGGTGTTTCCCCATTTCTGTGAGTTGTGGAAGTCCATTGGGCACAAACGGGGTGAGTGTAGTTCTTCTGCTTCTGTTCCCAATCCGGTGTCTACTTCAAAGCCTTCTTCCTCTGTTTTCGTTTCTAATCGGGGGGAGGGTGCTGTCCCTCAGCCTGGTGTGGTATCTGTGATTCACGCTCCTGCTCTTAGTGATTTGGTTTTAGTGCCGGATCCCAATACTTGTAGTAAGGATAATGCTATAGCTAATCCTGATTGTAATCCTGGTGTTGGGAATTGTGATATGGTTGTTGTTTATATTGGGAAACATTTAGCTGAAATACCTCCCCCTCCTCCCCCTGTATCTGGTGAGCTTGTGCCAGCCGCTTTGGCTATTCCGTTGAGTGGTGTCATTAACAATTTGGATTCTATTTGCCCCCCTACGGTTGCTTCTTCCCCTTTGGTTGTGGCCTATTCGAAGGGTGTGGATTGTGCTGCCTGTGAGTTGAATCGAATTGAGTCCCTGGACTCTTTGGGCTCTAATCATTATGTCTCTCACCTTAATTCTGACGTTTTGGTTGGTGATTCTTCTGCTCGTGTGGGTGTCTTTAATTTCAATTCCCCTGTCACGCCTACTATTCTTGTTCGCGGCCTGTTTGTTGATGTGCTTGTTAACTTAATTTCTCCTGAGGCTTTGTTTGCCCAAGTGGGGGAGGATGTGAGAATGCAAATTGATTGGCTTCAAGCCTCGACTGATTCTTCTTCGAAGGCTAGTGAGGAGGAAGAACCTGGGGAAGATTTTGTTAAGCATAATGATCGTCCTGTGGTCTCTGGTACCTCTCGTGGTAAGGGTAGGCGTGGCAGGAAATAATGCTGGGTTTTGTTGTGGTTGGTGCCCTCTTAATGGTTAAGATTGTAGTTTTTTGGTTACTTGACTGTTTGTGGTATAGTGGAGGCGGTTTTCTAGTTGTTCATCGAGCTCTTTCCTTTGGACTATGGGTTGATCTTGTTGGAAGGCATTTTTTGTTTTGGATGCTGCAGTTTGGCTGGAAGCCTGGAACTTAGACTAATATTTGTGGTTGCGAATTTTAGATTGAGGGCAATGATTTGGGTAGGGATCACTTATCCTAAGCCGTGGCTCGTGGCAACCTTTGGTGGTGCGTTTCTTACTTGTTTGGGTTGGCTACTTGGTGTATTACTGCTCTCACTCCATACTGGATGGCCCGTGCTTGGCTTAGGTGTGGTTTGCAGCCTATGCCTTTACTGAGCCTACTGGGTTGTCACCCTTGTGTTTCTTTGTAGCTTTTTTCTTTTTGCTTGTTAGCTTATTGAACCCCCCTTTTTTAGTTGGAATAAATTTCGAGTTTTACAAAAAAAAAAAATCAAGGACAATGACTGTAGTTAAGAATGATGAACAGAGGAACTATTTATAACATTGTAAACATATTCTGCAAGGAAAATTAGGCCTCCAAGAAAGAATTAGTAACTATTAAACAAAGATACTCAACAAATAAGATAACAGAGTTCCTAATTAAAAACATAAATATTTCACTTACAAACAGCAATAATAGTGTATGTATAACCAGCCGCTCCGAATGATTCATCATTCACTTTAGCAAGTGTACCCAGGCAAACTCCAGCCAGGCCTAGAATTAGAAAATCAATTCCTTGTATTCTGGCTTCACGCAAGCGCTGCTTACCAACCCTGGAAATAAAAAAGATTGGATGCAACATGTAAGTATTAGTATGATCTACAATGAAAAATCAATCAGCACTTCAACATCAAGAAAAAAATAGAATTTAGTCCTAAGAAACAAATGCTCGTTCTTCCATCATGAAACAAAGCACACGTAGTTTTAGGTGAAATTTTGTTGAAAAAAATACCTTCCCAGGAAGTATCTGTATTGCTGGAGAATGCCAGGAGTTCTACGATTAGATAAATCTTTTACTTTTGATAATTTATGCTCTAAATGTTCTCCTCTATGCTGAAATTCATCAGCCATGTTATCCCAGACTTCACCAGGAGCTGACTGGTCACCACTTCCACTTGAATCATTTGCTTCACAGTCCTTTTCCAGAATGTCAACAGTACTAAGGTTCTGCTGCATGTCAGGGGGTACATAATTCCCATTAAGCAGCATCCACTTAAGGGGGAGTTGTCTAACATTGATCCCTGGTGGTTTTATTATGCCCTCTAAAATATCAATGAAGTAATCTGGAGGGTTCACACGCTCAGGAACATCAATGCCAAGGCCGGCGAAGTAATCTTCAACTTTCTTTACGGCCCCAAGATATACAACCAGACCACCTTTTGCTAGCAGTACCAAATCATCAAACATTTTGAACAAAGTGTAGCTGAACATGGAAAAGTACGCCAACATTACTCCATATAATAGGAAAGCTTAAATTCACATGTTTAATACGTTAAAATGTCAAAAACATTTTACTTATATAATGATGGATATAAATTAACTAATACCATGACACTTCCAAAAGATAATATGATGCCAACATTGAAGACTAAATGTTCTTAGAGACTCTAGTTCAATGCCACTGGTTGATAAGCTGTCTTTATTTGTATCCTGCTGCAAAGATCTAATTGTTCATGTGATAATTTCGCTTCCCTAAAGTAAATTAAACGGATATGCCAAAGAATATGAATGTATCCTGACAAGTCACTATTGTTGAATCATAAAGATGGGAATAGTTGTCAGTCAGATTAGCAACTAGTAAAGATGTTATCCCTTTGAATCTTTTATCTTCATTTACTTGATCTCCAATCCCTAAGCCTCAGCTCTTCTATTTGACTCAAATCCAATAGGAGCTTCTTCCTCTTTGGCCTCAAAGTCAAAGTCTATTAATTTGGCCCAAATCAAATGTATAATCCCATTACTTAGACCAAAACCCTGAGCATCATCTCACTTAAACAAAACAAGTGATTTTCTCCTTCCATGACATTTAAAACAATAACTTTTAGGAGTTTTCCTTCTGCTGAAATTCATTTTGCCCTATTAGGTAAATTTCACAAAGTCTTAAGCAAAACTCTTAGGCTTGTTTACCTTAATCTATTAGATAAACATCTCCATCTTATCTAAATACTAAGACAACTCTAAAAAATATCTAAAAATCACTTAGATTCCTCCTGATACAATGATAAATCATTTTACCCCAAAAGGTGGAATGACTACATTCTTGGATCTTAGGATTTCATAAGTAACAAGTTTGCCTTAAAGCAAATAGTGGCTGCTCTATAAGTTCTTTATAACCCTTCTAAATATGAAACAATTAAAAATCAAATAAAAGCTTTAAGTCACAAAAAACTTAAAGTGAAATCACCCAGGATTAAAATTGAAATCTTCTATTTCTCAATAAAATAAAACACCACTTATAGTGTGACATGCCATACAACCGACATACATACTTAGGTGGACACCCCCAGGCATGTTAGGATTAAGATTTTTTTTTTCGCACACATGATTGATATTTTGGTGTGATGCTTTGGATTGTCTGCATTATAGACACTTGCCCTTAAGTGATTAAGATAAAGATATACGCTCTTTTTTGTAAAAATAAATCATAATTATAAAATGTTTAATTATAGGTGCGGCTTAAAACCCCTCTAAGAAGGCATGGTCAATAAAATGGAGACAGTGCTTGACACCTCAAGTGCTAGAAAATTTTGGGATGTCTTTTTCTTTCATATAAACGACTTCCTAATCTCTTCTTATTTTGTATGTTTTGAGTCTTTTTATTTTTCAAAATGTTTTTGATAGACTTAAAAAATATTGTAAGCATGTGGGATACAGTTACAAGAGAGATGAACGAGAAAGATGAATCCTCCAAGGTGAAGCCCTGGATGCATCAAAAAGCCAAAACTTGAAGACAACCCAGGTTCAGTCTGTAAAAATTTAACTTGTTTGTATAAAATAGTCAACATAGCTGCCAATTATAATTTCAATAACTTGATATTACTTTACTTTCCAACATTGGTTGATTTATATATACATATACATGTTTGTTTACCGAGAGTGCATTAAAAATGACTATTTTTTCCTAGGTTTGTTCGCTTGCTTTTACTTGGGGGTGGTCAGATGTGTGTTGTATTGTAGGCTCTTAGGACAAAATTAAAATTTCTACCAATTAAAAAAATATAAATAAAAATAATTAGTCACAAGAATATGATTTTTTCTACAAAAAATGTATGGCTTAAAAAATAAGCCATACTTTTAAATAAAAAATTGAAATAATTATTCATGATTAGTGTGTCTCATATAAAAAGCTCTCACTTAAGGACCATATAACAAAAAATCTATATTCAGTGAGCCAGCATACGCATACCGACATGGTTAAGCATCATGGCCTAAAAACCAAGTTGTAAGTCTTATCTTCTAAATCAAAAATAGTCTCCCTAATCTTCATATACATTGAGACCAGACCTCATGATTTTAAAAGAGTTTAGATAGGTTTAGCTGGTAGCCTTTTCCAAGTAGGATTTTAAATCCAAAAGTTAAGCTAACTTATGCTTTATGTGAGATGTAGGAGCAAAATATCCTAATTCGTTGAGGATGACAATTTCTCTAACATGTATAAGGAGTAAATTAAAAAGTGGTACAACAATAAGCTCATTAGGCAGAAATTTGAGCTTGGACAAAAAATGCTTCTACATAATTTAAGATTGCAATTATTTCTAGGACGTTAAATAGGAAGTTAAAGTCCATATGGTCAGAATCATTCACTTTTGTCAAGTTATATCCCCCCTATAGAGCTATAGACATTAAGGATAACAAGATCACTCAAATTTTCAAATCAATGTTACAGACTGAAGCCATACTTAGGAGGGGAGATAGATCGTCTTAAGAGTTCAGTGGAGTTGGCTCATCCTATATAGGATATAGGGATAATTTGACTGAAGACTATAAACTTAGTGATGCTTGGGAGGTAACCCAAATATGTTTTGTGAATGTGGTGTATGATGTATGTATGTTGCTCATGAGTATGTTTAGAATTTCTTTAATTATCACTGATGTGTGTGCTCAATAGATGTTGTAAAAGTGTGTAATTGACTTTGCCATGTGTTTGGAACAAAAAATGGGAAAGTTTCCTTGAGCGCCAGAACGCCGCACAGTCAAAGGAATCTATCTCCATGGCATCAAGCTCTTTGAAATTTGACAAATTCATTCAGCATCGCAACGCCATGGGAATCCAAAGCCGCGGCCCCAAATCGCCCCCATAGCGTCGCAATGTCAGACCATGCAGTGCTGCGGCTTTTTACTCTCGAGAAATTTGTCAATTAAATAGAGCACCACCTTAACCACTGCAACATCTAATAAAACATCATTATTAAAGTATGTGAAGAGCTGTGACAGTCTCTTTAAGCACTGCAGTGTTCACACGTGTCGAGTGTTGTGGTGGTGGACCAGTCAAAAAGCCTATAATTTCAAGTTCTAAAGTATAACATCGTGGCGCTGTCTGACCCCAACGTCGCAACTCGTGTACTATCTTTGACCGAATTAATAATTTGATTGACCAAGCACTACAAAGCTCACTCGTCTCCACAATGCCAGTCATTTTATATAGATAATGTTGGGTTGATTTATTTCATTTCACCTTGTAAGCTTCATCTTTAGTTTGTGTTCTCAAGTGAATGCTCTTGTCCAAACTGTGCAAATGGCCCTAAAAAATTACAATTGGAAAGAAGAGGTTATATTGCTCATCCTTTCATGACAATAAATGATTTATGAGCTCGGCTGCTAAAGACAAGTATAACATATCGCTAAGCAAGAATTTAGGAGCCACGGGAAGGCATGTAGAACACATGATTTGAAAGTGCAACTGTTTTCTTTATCAAATTTGCTATGAGTTGCGTTTTTATCTAGAATGTGAATTTTAATTATGTGTGACTTTCTTGATCCATATTTTCATCGTCAACTTCTAGTAGAAAGCCATTGATTTTTTTTTTTTTTTTTGGGAGCTCGTTACATGGTTTTCCACATCTCATGTTAGACAAGCATTAGCTACCCTAGAACCTAAGACAACCTACATCACATATGTACCATAACATTAATGATTGTGTGAAAATGCTCTAACTTAAAATATGAAATCAAACGAATTTCAACATGTGAATAAATAGAAGATCAGCAATAGCAAAATAAAAAAGAAGAAAATAAATGATTCACAATTCTAAAATTAAAGACTGATTGTAATCCTGAGTGACAATAAAGTGATATAAAGTCAGTCTAAGTAAACCTTTAGTTGTGCTATAGTACATGCATAAGAATGTGCTACAAAAAGAGAATTTTTTAAACCACATAAGAGATAGCATTTATTTGCTTCCTAAGTTTCATTTTAATAAATTTACCTATCCATTTAAAGAATAATAAATAAATCATTAAAGGACTACATAATGATGAACATAAAAGTAGACCTTGGTTGGTGAACCACCATACAAATGTTTACTCCTTCAAGTGCCTCCCTACGAAGAGCTCTTAGAAGCAACTGAGATGAAGCGCTATCCAAACCAGATGTAGGTTCATCCAGTATCAGCAATGAAGGTTCCATCACCATTTCAAGCCCAACATTCACTCTTTTTCTTTGACCACCAGATATTCCACGCTTTTCCACTGTCCCAACAAGGCAATCTCGTACAGCTTGAAGTCCCAAGGATTCAATCACCCTTTCCACAACCAAAACTTTATCAGCCTTTGGCATGTCTGCTGAAAGCCTACAAAAATAAAAATTCACTCAGCTAACAGTAATGACAATCAACAATTACCAATAAAATGGAAAGAAAACAAGGAATGATATTTCATATCCTTCTTTTCAATTAGAAACTGGTAAATCAAAATGTTATCAGTTGTGAAGTAAAAATAATTAAGCTGGGAATTGAAATTGATTACTGATGAAAAGAATTTAACTGTGGGAATGATGATGAGATGTTAAAAATAGTCTAGGAAAATGCTGACATTATAGAGGTACAAGACAAAAATTGGAAATAGAAACACTCAAAGTGTAATTGGATAAAATAATCCATAAAGGCGACAAGAGTTAGTAAGCGCACCATTTCCAGGAAAATGCACTTTAAGATCCCATGTTTCAGGGCCTACGGCATATATGATTGCTAACTTAATATCTATGATGCACTGACAAAGACACGGTGACACGGACAGGACACGACACGGACACGGGACACGGCAATCTTTAAAAATGTAGGACACGGGTGCGGGGTGGACACGGCATAATAATTTTTTAATATAATATATAAAAATTAAGGTGACATTATAGTAAAAATGTCAAGCAATAATAAATCAATTTTATGATAACTTGTTTATCTTATAACATAAAGATGTTTAGTACAAAATGTCTAGTACAAATACTCATGAG